TGGCCTTGATCTTTGTAGAGTCATTTGACTGAATGGACAGGATAGCTTTCGACATGGTGGGCTGTATTGTATGTTGGGAGATCGGGAATCGCTTCTGGTCGTGGAGGGGTCAATGGTCTTCTATTCAGTACCTTCAGGTACTTTAACTTCAGGTACTTCGTACTCGACTTGACCCGACGCGTCTGTCCTAAAGGCCCAGACGCGAATTTGGATAATCGATAAGATGTTGCGATAAGATGTTGCGATAAACTCGTCTTTATCGATAAGATTAATTGTCTTGGCTCCCGCCGTGCACGGTCTCCCACCCTTTTCCCCCGACTCCACGAGCCTCTACGTACTGCGTAGTCGTGTCCCTTCAGTCCTTCCTGCTATTTCAACCATCAAGCCATTCATCATCAGGGGTTGCGGCTGATGCGCTGCTCAATGCTCACTCATCTTATAGAGCTCACTTGGCGACAGGTGGCAGCGAGAGACAGGTGTGAGAAATTGCAGTAGCTCGTACAAACTGACAAGCAAAGCTCGTGCTGGTGAGAGACATGCATTGCAACACTACCCAGCCCTTTTGATGATTCCAAGACAATCGCAAGGAACTCGCCCAATCCTCGTGGACCTCCCAACCCCCCCGTGTGTCCTCACACATGTCCAGTCAGACAGACCGCCGGGATCAGACATGCATCAATGTACTGGTATGCTACGGGACGACCTTAGGGACGACTCTAAGACGGGCGGGTTAGGTGTCCTGCGACAAGTACGTGGCAGCTCTAATACAACCGGACGCCTAAAGTTGAGACACAGTGGGAATCCAGTCCCCCAGCTCCCCCTGTCCCCTTCTCCGACCCCCTCCGGCATCAGGAATTGTCCATCTTTGTCCGTATCTCCTCCGAAAAGTCCGCCCTCCAGATCGTGAACCCGCCCGGGAAAGCCCACGAATATGAATTCTGCGGTTGACGGTTGTCGGCAACCAATTAGCGGCGGTGGGGGGTGGGAAAGTCTTGATGTCATTGATATCAAAACACCCTGGTCGATTTCCTGAGAATTTCCAGTAAAAGCTCCGCAAGAGCTGCAAAGTAACAAAGGGACCCCTGGGCCTTTGCTCAACCGGGGAACGCCCGAATCGGACACCCTGCGCTCTTGATTCGCTTGTACCTACTTTACAGTTGCGCAGGATTTCAATTACACAATAAGCTGCGGAAAGCCTTGCTCATCGAAAGTTCCAACGCTGGATCGGATCGGACGTGCCCTAGTGAGAAGTACGGGTAATTCGAAAGAACCGTAAAAGTCGTTGACGGTTGGATTAGTGTGTGAACTCAAGGCTCGAGATATGTATGGATTAATAATGCGCATCCGCCTACCCTGACTTACCTTAGTCACGAGGTGTTCGGAGTCGGTGACTGTCGATCGTGAGAAACAACGTTCTGGCACACCGTACCCAGCTGACACAGGAAATGAAATGGGTGGGAAGGAAATGCTGTCAAGCCTTGCTCCCGGGGAACGCTCCTCTTCCCACCCCACGCAGTAGGATGCAGGGACCTGGCCTGAGTCTACCATTCTACGTCTGACTATACGAATGCTTCCATCTTGGTATCATCCTTCGAGGAACGAGCATCTATGTACATCATCCTGCACAGAGGTTCTTCCTTTACAAGCAAAGAGGAACTCTCTCATATCCTCACAGGGCCACCGCAATTGGGGATGATTACTCTATACCATCTCGTCCGATGAAGAGCTACCTGAGTCGTTCAACCTCACGCTAAACTGTTTGTTTCGTTCGCCCGGACCTTGCCAGCCGGGACAAATTCCGGACGGCCTTCTCGAAACCTGCAGCTCGTGCTTCTTTTGTTCCCAGTGGTTCCTTTGGTTCCCCCCAGGGCCCAACCCAACTTATCCCAAGCAGCGAGACTAGAACAGTTCGAGGCTGAACGTGGCCGGACGGTCCGGTAGCGCACTGGCCTTTTGAGAGACAAGGTGGTAGGTGGTAATACCTTACAAAGTAGGTAAAGACAAGGTGTTAGTGAGGTAGTTTCTTCAACCATTTTTACAAGCCTGTGTTGACGAATGAGCTTGTCGGGTACACCACTCCGATCATAGCTCGCACGCATTGCCATGCGTTCCCCCAACTTACCATGCGTTCGGCTCGCCGTGCCTCCGTAGGAAGCTGACATCATCCCTTGGTTTACACTAACAGCCCTGGCCCTAAGAAATTTTGTTGGGGAGGAGGAGGAGGAGGAGGAGGAGGAGCTCGTTGTCAGCAGCCAGCCGCTATCAAGAATTGTCTTGCAGTCAGTTAAATGCATCAATGATCCCAAGAAGTTGGTTTGGCAGAGAGCCATTGCACAATATCGGGACCAAAGTTGAGCTCAGAACCCAGAGGCTATTCAAGTTCACCCTCCACGGTAGGCAAGGCAACGAACAGGAACCCTAGATGCCGAAGAGATCGTCAACCTCCCCCCTCCCCCCTTTGGCGATGTTCGATTTCCTCAATGAAACAAGCGATGGCCAAGGCCTCTGCCCCTCCCGAGTGATTCCCGTCTGAGCTACCCTTGCCGCACCCACTCTTCCCAAGTTCCCACCCATGCTCATCCTGGCAAAGCCTGGGTTGGACCCTCCCATGCGTCCCCATTTTTTGACCCTCGGGCTTGCGACGGTACCGATGGACGAGACAAGAATTGGAAGCATGCGCTCTCTCTTCCTCCACCTCCTTCGCTGCATCCATGTGCCGTTGCCGGTTCCCCTTCAAGACAACACACTACCTTACCCACCGGCAAGCTAACTCGCACACACAAGCCTTTAGAAGTTTAGCCTTGCCTTGACATGCTTGGAGTGACATTGGTCTCCTTCGGGGGGGTTGCCTCTTGCAATAAAATGATACCCGTCCCGCCCCCCTTGCTGGAGGTCTCAGATGTGAACATGTCCCTCTCTGCTCGTTTCCTGTTAACTTTGGCATTCCACCCCTCCTCCCATACATCCCATCAAGCTTGCTTGCCCCCCTCCATCTTCTCTCGAGAGTAGTGAGAGAGAGAGCTGTATGCAGCATCCCAGTGACCTACCTACCTTGAGAGCTTCGGTTTTAGGTTCCCCGGCGGCTTGCTCAACTCAATTGACCTTTGGTTGAACTGCGCCAGTCCAGTCCTGTACCTTACACCAAAAGCCATTGGGCTTCTCACGGGGTCTCGTACATAGAAACACCGTAAACAGGATCTCCGCGACTACTACTTTAGTGTATCTACAGACAGTCCTTCTACGCGCGCAGCCATGCCCAAGCTCCCCTCGCTGGTCCCAGCGGCCGTCGCCAAACCCCTCTACCGCGGCACCGAGCTCGTGAGAGGCGCCGTCGGCAGCCTGACCTGGGGACCGGCCCTATCGGTAGCCAAGCCCGCCATCCTCTCCGTCTTTTCAAAGATTGAGCGCGGCACCCTCCTGCTCGTCGACGAGCCCGCCGAGCTCCGGAGGGTATTCGGCCAAAAACTAGGCGCAAAGTACAACGAGAACCTCACCAACGGCGACCACGTGCCGCGCCGCGCCGATGCCGTGCCCCGCGTGGAGCTGGTCGTCAAGAGCGATGCGTTCTGGATGCGCCTGTTCTTGTTCGCTGACATGGGGTTCGCCGAGTCGTATATGCTGGGGGAGATTGAGTGCAAGGACTTGACTGCCTTCTTCCAGGTCAGTACACTCGCAAACTGGGGCGGGCGTTATGGTCGTGTAGGGGTGGTGTGGCTAACTTGACACGGCGTCACAGCTCTTCATCGTCAACCGCGAAGAAATGGGCAACGGAACAACCTGGATATCGAGCTTGTCCACCGCCGTCTCGAGCCTGGCGCGAACCACAAACACCTTGTCCAACGCCCTCCTCAACATCTCGGCGCACTATGACATCAGCAACGACATGTTCGCCGCCTTCCTGTCGCCGGACATGACATACTCGTGCCCCATCTGGAAACCGCAAAGCAGCGCCGACGACCCCAACGAGCCGGAAGAGACGCTGGAGCAGGCGCAAATGACCAAGCTGCACCGCTTCATCGACGGCGCGCGCATCAAGCCGTCGGACCACGTGCTGGAGATTGGCACCGGCTGGGGTTCCTTTGCGATCGAGGCGGTGAAGAAGACGGGCTGCCGCGTGACGAGCTTGACGCTCTCCAAGGAGCAAAAGGCGCTCGCGGAGGAGCGCATCGAGGCCGCGGGGTTCTCTGACCGTATCGACGTCAGGCTTACGGATTACCGAGAGCTAGAGACGCCGGGCAGGCCGTTTGACAAGATTGTGTCCATTGAGATGCTGGAGGCCGTTGGTCAGGAGTTCCTGGCGACGTATTTTGCGCAAATGGACAGGTTGCTGAAGAAGGATGGGGGTATCGCCGTCTTCCAGTGCATTACGATGCCGGAAGGTCGCCATGAGGCGTACTCCAAGGGCGAAGAGTAAGTCGCAAAGCAGAACCCATGAAATAGGGTCGCGTGCTGACAGACTGCAGTTTCATCAACCACTACATCTTCCCGGGAGGTTACCTCCCATCGATCACTCAGCTGTTGAACCACATCAGCAAGGAGTCCAAGGGCACTCTCATTGTCGAAAAGGTGGAGAACATTGGTGGCCACTACTCAAAAACCCTGAGGCTGTGGAAGGAGGAGTTCCTCCGCAACTTTGATTCCAAGATCCGTCCGGCGTTGAAACGTGAGCATGATGACATGACTGAAGAAGAAATAGATGTATTTAGAAGGAAGTGGGAGGTAAGACACGTACCATCATCCCTCTTGTGGTATTTCTAAGCTAATCTGGCCATGCAGTACTACTTCACATACTGCGAAGCCGGGTTCCGAACAAAGACGCTTGGCGACGCGATAATAACCGTTGGGCGCGAGGGTGCTCTGGAGTTGATGGAAGGCATTCCGCTATGAAGAAAGTGGACATAATTGTTGGAGGAGACAAGACCGTGTCGTAATTTTGAAGACACGGATGCATGAGGCCCCGGGGCCTTGATGAGATTTAAAGCAGCGTAGAGGATAAAGACTCATTTCTTTTTCTTGGACTTGTTAGACTTTGGCTTCGAACTTATCGAAGCACCTCCAAATCGAGGAAAGCGGTTGGCGTGATCCACGTCGAATGCGGACTTGTGTTTCCTGAACAAGAGCATCGTCACCCGCGCATCTTCGATACTTGAGTGAGCACCGCCTTGGATGGTGACCTTGAGCAACTCCTCTGCAAGTCTTCTAAGCGCTGGCTTACTGCCGTTGCCGTACTGCCGAAACCCAGGGTGCTTGGCCGTATCGCGAATGTCTTTACTCGGATGACTGAGTTTCAGGCAGTCCAGATCGTGCTTGATATCGTGGGCAACCACTATCCTGTCTTTAAGGAGCGCGGCGACTTCCTTCTGGACCTCGTCGAAGTCCCGGGCAAATCTCATGTGCTTAGGGAGGATCCCGCTCACAGCACTTCGCCAGTCCGTCACCCGTTCTTGGGGCTTCACATACGAATCGTATACTTGGCGTCCGTGAAAGTCAACGATGCTCACACGAGCCAAGACGGACTCGTATCCTCCATCTCCAACACCAACCATTTCGCAGTCGATGGCGATGTACTTGCCCACCTCGATTCCTTCTATGAGACCAGAGTTGATCTTATCCTTTTCGGATCCGAGCATGGAATTGTTCTTCAGCCCGAGACCGTAGGCCTCAGCCAGTGCTTCCGAAGAGATGTCATTGTCTTGGGCCCAGAGAGCGAGTGACGGCGACGGGCCGACCTTGGGTTCGACTTCAACCTTTGAACTTTGTGCAACACCCATGCGTCCGTTCTTTGTTTTTACGGCCTTTGGGGTGTGCGTAGCTGGTCCCGACGTTTTGGAAGCAATCTTCTTCTTTTTGGACTGTTGTTGGTCCGAGGTTGAAGATTCTGCTTTTCTCTTGACACCTCCAGACGTCTTGGCTGGTGTAGTTGAGGAAGAAGACGGGCCTGCCGCTTTGAGTTGTGCCTGGAGCTTCTTCCAATTTGATGACAGCTCAGGGGCCATAGTCTCTGCTTCCGAATGAGATATTTTCGGATATGACCGCTCGTGTATCAGCGAGAGGAAACTATGATGTGTTTTTCAAATATGGAAAACCGGTAAATGAGAAACTCTTGGATGTAAAGTCAGCGATGAGAGTCGAGCCCAAATGAGAGAAAATGGAAAAATGCACTTATCGAGGTCGGGTGGAGTGGAGTCAGCGCCTGGGCTAGCGCTCCTTTCTTGCAAGGGTTCACGGCAATTTCTTCACCGCCTTTGGGCAGTTCGCGCTTTCTGCCACACCACCTTCCTGTTCCTGCAGTAATTCAATCATCTTTTGCGACCGAGAACAGCAAGCCGATTTTCGCATTGTACCAACATCCATCAACTATCAACCACCACATCGAGTATTCATCATGGCGGCACACGGCGCCAATGGCGAGGCCTCTGTCGGCTCCAGTGAGCCCCGACAAAAGGGAAAGGCTACCCCGGAAACAATCAGGTTCGTCATCCCAACACCCCACCATCTCACCCGTATGGCCCCTCATGCGATGTTTCTCAATTAACTCATCGAGCGCAGAGCAGGATGCATCGCCATGGTCAAAAAAGAAGGCATCCCCCGTCGAGCCGAGATTCTTAGCATCAAAGAAACGAAGAGCGGTCGCCAATTTTACTGCAACTTTGACAATTTCAACAAACGTCTCGACGAATGGGTGCCGACGATCCGAATCGATTTCGACCAAGATGTCGAGTGGCCATTACCCGACAAGGACAAACCGAAAGATCCTAAGACGAAGAAAGGTGTTGCCACGTCAAAAAATAAGGTCTCAAAGAAATCCCAGAAGCGACCTTCGAAGAGGGAGCAATCTGCGCCTTCAGAGGCCGCGACGCCGCACCCATGGACCGAGTTCGTCGAGTCACAGAGCCGTAAGATGACGCCGACGGCCGAGGAGAGCCAAAGCCAGACCCCGGCCACAGCTACGGGCGATGCAACGGCCACCCCCGCAGCTGGAGGCGATGAAATGGAAATTGACCTGGAGGAGGAGGTCCAGAAGAAAGATTTACTCAGTGGCTTCAGCCGAGAAGACGAGATCGAGAAGTTGAGGACACACGGCTCTATGACGCAGAATCCGGCCGAGATCTCCCGAATTCGAAATATCTCCAAGGTCCAGTTTGGAAAGCACGACTTGTTCCCATGGTACTTTTCCCCATACCCTGAGGTATTCAACCAGGAAGATGTTATTTTCATCTGCGAGTTTTGCCTCGGGTACTATGGCGACGAAAAATCCTTTGTTAGGCACAGGCACAAGTGTACTCTGCAGCACCCTCCTGGAAACGAGATCTACCGCGACGAGTCTGTCTCTTTCTTTGAGATTGACGGCAGACGACAGCGCACCTACTGCCGTAACCTGTGTCTCTTGTCCAAGATGTTCCTTGACCACAAGACACTATACTACGATGTCGACCCCTTCTTGTTCTACGTCATGACGAGTCGAAGCGATAAGGGCTGCCACATTATCGGTTACTTTTCCAAAGAAAAGGAGAGCGCGGACGGATACAACGTAGCTTGTATTTTGACTCTGCCTCAGTACCAGCGCAAAGGTTATGGTCGATTGCTCATTCAGTTCTCGTACGAACTATCAAGGATCGAAGGCAAGCTTGGTTCGCCAGAAAAGCCGCTTTCTGATTTGGGTCTGCTGAGTTATCGGCAATACTGGGGTGAAAACATCTTGGATCTCATTGTGGGTTACAATGAGCGCGATGAGAAGACTACGATTGAAGCCATCTCGACGGCTCTTGCCATAATTCCGCAGGACGTGGAGCACACCTTACAGGCGCTTAAGATGCAGGTGTATCATAAGGGAGAGCACAAGATCGTGATTCCCGAGAAGCTGATACAGCAGAGGGAGAAGCAGAAGGTGAAGCAGAAGCGATTGATTGACCCGAGCAAGATCCAGTGGAAGCCACCAGTATTTACGGCTTCTACGAGAACATGGGGTTGGTAAAAAGGGTGTGTCCCTTAGACTGGTGTCAATGACGAGGCGTTTGAAAAGACATTGATTTTGGAGCATATGATACCCTTACATTTTACCACTACCTAGGAAAGGAATAAGTTTCAGTTGGACCAATGAGTCTTTGAACCAGAACATATTTGTTGAACTTGCCGGTTCCTTGATGTGCCGCTATGATTGCGAAATGCTGCGTGGGGCCAGCGCATTTCCTATCTTTGGTGCCTCCGCATTCGGAGGCGACAACCTTGAACTTCACTCTGACATACAACTATAAGTAATCATTACCTTGCAGTCAACCAAGGTCGCCGTTAAATTCCATTAGTGAACCAAAAGCTCGAACGGAGGTGATGAAGCATCGCGTGACAACTGTATCAAAACACTTTGCTCAATTACCTCACCACCGGCGACCCCTCACACACGATACCCGCATCTCCTCAACTTGCGCGACCAGCGTAAACACTCGCAAGCTGCCATTGAGTTTTGATCCACACTCAGCACCTCGACGATCCTTCTTCACCTCGGCAAATTCTCTCTCATCATCAAGCATGAACGCCCCCTTGCACAAGAAGCCAATCAACCTCCTCCGAGGCTGGCCCTCGCCATCCCTCCTCCCAGCCGCAGCCCTCTCCGCCGCGGCCGTAAAGACCCTCGCCGACCCCGCCGCCTACGTCCCGGGGCTCCAGTACGGTCCGGACCCGGGATACCAGCCTCTCCGCGAGTCCATCGCCCGCTGGCTGGCGGCATTTTACCCCGCCGTCGACCCCGCACCTCCGTCTGCCGCGGATGATGCCACCACCACTACTGTCGCCGCCGGCCACCACGCGCCCGATGTCCGGCGCATCTGCGTCACGGGCGGTGCAAGCCAGAATCTGGCTTGTATCCTTCAATCTTTCACTGATCCGCTTTACACGAAGAATGTCTGGATGGTGGCGCCGTGCTACTTTCTCGCCTGCCCCATTTTTGCTGACGCCGGGTTCGACGGGCGCCTGAAGGCTGTTCCTGAGGATGATGATGGTATTGATATCGAGTACTTGAGGAAGGGGCTCGAGGCCGCAGGAGAAGGCGGCGATGAGGTGAGCCTTTTCTACGATGGGGCTGTTGCTACAAGCAGCGTCTCCCACCTTCACTTCATCTCATCGTGAAGAGCCTCACCTAATGGTATCAACGATGAGAAGAGAAACGTCAAGGAATACCAGCTAATATCAAGCAACAGCACTTCAAAGAAGCCAAAAAGAGAAAACTCTACCGCCACATAATCTACCTCGTCCCAACCTGCTCCAACCCGACAGGCAAAACAATGTCCCTCCGCCGTCGCCACGAGCTCGTCCTCCTCGCCCGCAAACACGACGCCCTCCTCGTCTCCGACGACGTCTACGACTTCCTCCAATGGCCCCTCTCCACCCCTCCTCAGCCAGGCTACACCGCCGAAATGCGCATTCCCCGCCTCGTAGACATCGACCGCAGCCTAGGCGTCGGGGACGCCTCCTTCGGCAACGCGGTCTCCAACGGCTCCTTCAGCAAGATCGTCGCCCCCGGCGTGCGCACGGGGTGGGCGGAGGGCAGTCCCGCGTTCGCATACGGGTTATCACAGACGGGGTCAACGTGTAGCGGTGGCGCGCCGAGCCAGTTGGCTGCCATGATGGTCGCGGAGCTGCTCGAGAGCGGGGAGCTGCAGAGGCAGCTTGATCAGGAGACGCGTCCTGCGCTCGCGAGACGACATGGGGCTATGATGCAAGCGATTGCGGAGTACATCCAGAAGCCGCTTGGCGAGGGTGTCGTTGTGCGCGGGTCGGCGTTGAAGGGGGCTGAGGTGTTTGGCGGGTACTTTGTGTGGTTTAGTTTGCCTGAGGGTATGTCGAGTCGGGAGGTTGCTGTGAGGGCTAAGGAGACGGAGAATCTGGTGATTGGGCACGGTGCGCAGTTTGAGGTGCATGGGGACGAGGACGCTGCGAGGTTCGATCGGGAGATTCGATTGTGTTTCTCGTGGGAGCCGGAGGAGGACGTCGTGGAGGGTGTGAAGAGGTTGGGAGCGGTGTTGAAGGCTATGAAGGATGGTGTTAAGTGGAAGTCCTCGAGTACGCTGGACGTAGATAACGTCAAATAAAAGGACAAAAAGTCAGTGTTTTATCCCTTACGACTAAAATTCACGTTGCGAGCTTGACCAATACTGCTTTGATATGAGGTGCTCGTTCTGTGATTACCGTGTCACATGGGCATAATTGGTAACATTTGATCTTTCTATCCTCTGAGAGTCTAGACGGCCCTGCGTGTGATAAGTAGGCACTCTAGATAGTTGAAAAAAAAACGTGCCGGGGGGGGGGGGTGTGTGTGAGTGTAGTGTGAGATGAGAGTGTTTGTGTTAGTTTTTTTTTCTATTTGTTGGGGAGGGGAGAGGGCGCGAGGTGGGGTAGGATAGATAGAAAAAGAAGAAAAAAAAAAAAAGGGGGGGGGGGGGGGGGGGGGGGGCCTCTGAAAAAAAAAACATTCACCTCACATGATGAGAAGGACTAAAAGGGGCTGTGTGGAAAGTTGTCGTAAGCAAACATGTTTTGAATCTCAGATCTCCTTTCATGTAGCAACCGCTCTCATCGCGTAGAGTTCCTTCTACGATATAGGTCCAATGCTATCATTTCGCATCAATGCCTGGTGAGATATATCTCGGACCTCCGAGTTGTAACTTCTCATCCTTAGCTCTAGCCGTTATTAGCATATTCAGGTGTATTTCAGGGTGCTGGCAAAGGGCGAGGGACGAGAGATAGTGGTGAGGGCGTTTTCTTGATAGCTTCACTGAGAGTTAGATCAACCACAAGTTACCTAGCGATAAGTCAAACGAGAAACAAATTTCAGGTCCCTTCAGCATATTTCGCAATTACCAGACCTCGGACGTAGGGTTGCTGCACATTGGCGGCTCCGGTGTATGATCTTGACTTTACATGGAGGATTAAGGTGGTTGCCAAGTGAAAAACAATACGATGAAAGCCTTGAGATGAAAGGACCTGCGTTGGGAGAAGTCTCATCAAACAGCGGTGTTTTTTTGCAGAGTATGTGATCAGCAATTGCTTCATCTGCGATGCGAAAAGTTCATCTACTAAGCAGAGGCTAAATTCCACGGCTAGGCATAGAAGATCCTTTGAGATGAACGTTGTTCGCTGATTTGTTCCTGTTAAATCTATCCAAAGATCACTTCTACAACGCGCCTAAGTGAGGACAGGCAGGTACAGACAGGTAAAGGCGCAAGTCAAAAACGTCTCATACCGGTAGCAAATCAAGCCAGGTAAAATGAGAATGAGCAGGCTCTCCATAGCAAAAAAGGTCAGACCCAGGAGCGGTATATTCATAAGCTCATCTTCAAGGACCTACATCTAGAGCTGGAGATAATCCCGTGGGCAGACTTTCAGCCTCGGCCGTTGTGACTGCGTTCGATATATTGGCAAGGCACCTAGTAACTTCACATCTGTAACAATATCGAGCAGCGTTGCGGCTTCGGCATTGTGGCTTCGGTTTGCGATAAGACTGAGTGAATGACATCGAGAGCGCCCTTCCCGCTTCGCTGAGTCTTTTCACCAGCCACCAAACAATTATAAACAAGGTCTTCGGAGAACACGATTCTAGGCTCGTCCCTAGGTAAAAGAGGGCGCAGCGAGATGGGGGGGCAATCAAGCACTAGAAAGATCTCGTGGAGGCTGGGATTTGAAGGCTTGAAGCACGGAGAACCGGAGACCATCGAAGTGCGGGATATCGTCATCGGGAGTGAGGGGTCCCAAGTCTGGCCTTTGATGTCGGCAGACTCTCCCTCGATGGGAAGTGGTCGAAAGAGGCGTGTGGCTTGAGACGGGGTCTCATCGTTTATGAGGCATTGTGGTAATCTGTGGCGGCGGCGGTGGCCCGGGGTTAAACTCGTTGCGGTATGTCTCTAATGGGTGCATTGAGTCTTGGTCGGTTTGCGGGTTTGCCTCGTTTCTGGAGTTCGGCAGATGCGTATACAATCGAGACTTGATGGTCAAGCTATGGGTCGCGAAGAATTTGTCGGCCATATTATCTCTCTCCGGGGTAGATAATGGTGTTTTTTGGAATTATTGATGGAAGAGAAACGAATTACTCCAGCAATACGTGATTATACATCGCTTTCGCACTACAAGAACACAAGCATTGAAGTCATTCTCGCAACAAGACATTCACCATATCCCTCAAAACAACCTAGGTTATATGATCTGTCTATAAGTAATCACAAAATACTAGAGTTTACCATAATCACGAAGAGAAACAGATGCCAAGACTCCGGGACGGTGGAGGAGGGGGCCGCATGTACGACGGACGAACCCGACACCTCGGGTCCCCCACTCCGCGTCCTCCCCTGCAAGTTTGCAACCTCCAACGGGGAAGACGGGTGGTGATGGATGCATGCACAGCAGCTTTCGCCGCAACAGCTGTTACCAAACCACCGGGATCCCAGCAACGTCACTGCTTCATTTTCAACCTCTAACCCAGATATCATCAAGCTTGCGGGCTTGAGGCTCCAGTAGCTACTTTCCTCTTATTTAGGTCGAAAAGCATAATTTCGCAATCGCTTGTTTCTCTAGTTTCTCTTCCTCGATGTCCGCAAACGTAAATAAAAGCCACCGTACCTGGGAGAGGCTAGACCCGGGCCCCCGATCACCACGTTAGTAGCAAAGTAGTCTTTCTTTGATCTTGCCATTTTGCAAACAAGGGAACGATTCACTTCAACCATGAGACATAAACTCAGTTTAATTCCCCGGGGCGGTCGACCCCAGACGGGTCCCCGAGTCCCCTTCTTCCTCCTTTCCCCCTTTCCATGTGAGCCGCGAGGATCGAATAAAAAGTGAGCCAAGAGGTGAAGCATCAGAAGACTAGACGCGGGAAATATGTCGTAATGCCTCCTTGAATCGACGACCTTCTCCTCCCGCCTGCAAAGACTGCTCATGGACAACGAGTCCTCCGCATCCATACTGCAGTCGAAATCTACTTGAGCCGTTCTTTCGATGGCGTTTCAATTGGCGGATGGCCTGCCGGACTGCGCCGTGAGCTTGCCTCCCTTCTCTGATACTGGCCTTTGAGGTTCGGGTATGGGAGATACTTCGACGTCATAGGGAGCTGACGATATCCTATTTGATGCATCTAGATACCGTGTCTGTCGCAGGCCGTCAACATCACAACATGTGCCGTCACCAATTTGACGACAACATGTCTATGTCAGGATAAGCCCGCCGTCGAGGCCTTTCGCGTCTGTATACGTGCGGTGTGTGACTTGGAGCAGTCTTTACGTGAGATGCCCCCCTCACCCCCTCTCACAAGCCATGATGTACCTCAGCTGACAGTGATGCTATCCAGTCGCCAAGAATATCACATGGACAAAGTGCGGGTATCCTTATCACCATCAGACAGGTTCGATAGCCGGCAAAGTATCGCTCGTGATCATCACCGCCGTCTTCGTGCTAGCGAGGATGCTCTCCAAGTTTCTGAGGCTGTCGACGTGGGGGCCGGACGACTTCACGTTGATATTGGGATACGTAAGGGCCCAGCATCCTCTCGGGCAAAGAAGTTTGCCAAACTGTTTTTCACTTGAAGACGAAACGACTAATGTCTTTTGTCGTAGTTGTTCTCTATTTCTTTTGCCATTTCCAAGTTTCGAGGTAGGCCTCCCCCTTTCGACACTCGCGATGCGTCGAGGCATTCCAATGAAGGATCTCATTTAACAGAATATCAGGGTATCAATTAGGCATCGGTCGAGATATATGGACTCTCTCCTACGATGAGATAACTCGCTTCATGCAAGTAAGACACTTCCCACCACCGCCACGCCCCGAATATTCCACAGCAAACAAACATGCCGCAGAAGCTCACAAACCAACTCGGAAACCGGCAGGTCTTCTTCGCCTTCGAAGTAATCTACACCCTCTCCATCTCCGCCCTCAAAGCCTCCATCCTCTTCTTCTACATCCGCGTCTTCAGCATGGTCAGCCGCACCTTCAGCCTCGTCCTCTGGCTCACCCAGACCTTCAACTTCCTGTTCTGCCTCGCCTTCACCGTCGCGAACCTGAACCAGTGCCGCCCCTTCAGCAACGCCTGGGAGGCCTGGGACGGCCGCCACCCGGGGTACTGTATCAATGTCTACGCCATGTTCATCGCGCACGCGGCGATCAATATCGCGCTCGACGTGTGGATGTTGGGGTTGCCCGTCACGCAGGTGCTGTGGTTGAATTTGAGAAAGAGGCAAAAGGTGGAGATTGTCGTCATGTTTTCGTTGGGTGTTGTGTGAGTTTGACCCCTTTTGGTCGATACCTATATTGTCGCTAACGCCTCATCTCGCAACAGCATCACAATCGTCAGCGCAATCCGTCTAAAAGTCCTCCTAAGCCTCGAAGGCTTCCAAGACCCAACCTGTAAGCCCTCCCTCCCCCAACGCTGCGCCAACTCCTACCTACCTCATCCAACCCCCGCGATGCTAACCCCCTTCTTCCTCGCTACAGACGACGCGTTCTACCTCCACATGTGGTCCTACATCGAACTCTCCGTCGGCATCATCGTCGCATGCCTCCCCTCAACCCGCCAACTCTGGCGCCATCTCGTCCCCAAACTCCTCCGTCTCGTCGGGCTGGGAAGTCCCAAACACCACCACAACCGCCACCACGGCCATGAAAGGCCGGGTGACTCAGCAAAGAAGCTTCGCGACATTTTATTTATGAGTACGAACACAGGAGGTGGTGGAGGAGAAGAGGGAGGTGAGGAGGAGCATTCGTCGTCGTCGGCGGGACCTTCAAGTCCGAGTGGATCGTCGACTCGTCGTCAGGAGGTACACTGTAATTTGTAATATATACCCCCCCTTTGTATAGTGACTTGCTGTTTGTTTCTACAGTAGAGTAGAGTTTGGACATCGACCCCATATTCGGATTATTGGCCTCATTAGGCAATGTTTGGACGATGAATGTTCTCACCTGGTAATTTTCATCAACCTACAGCGAGGTGATACATGGCCTTGGCAACATTTTGAGCATCCCAAGCAGCTTTATAAATTCCGTCAGCCCAGGGGGGCTTAGTAATTACTCATCACAACTTTACAATCAGGACGACATGAATAGAGGCACAAGTGAAAAGCGAGTTTTCATCATTTGTTTGTGTATTTTCTGAACTGCAATTACCCTGGACGTCAACTGCCCTCAAGCAGCTACTGTCTGTCCTTCCGCTGGCAGTGACCGAGTAAACGCTTGTGTAAGAGAAAGACACTCATCCATTTCCGAGTCCTGTAATCTCACCTCCTTTGCACATCAGGTGTTTGTAAAAGACCGCGTTGCCCCCTCCGATACTCCCAGGACACCCGCCAGCCAACCTTCCTTTGACCTCCTGGCCGTTCGTTATGCGTGTCATGGTTATGAATCGTACGAAGAAACACCGGACCTTGGTCAACATGACCAGCGTTCCTCCCCTCTGACTTATGTAGCCGAGCAAAGGGGGTTCTCGTATTGGGTTGGAAGTGTTGTTCAATGGTGGGAAGATGGAGCTCGCGTGTCGTGAGAGTGGAAGAGAAGAAAATTCACCAAAAGACTTCGCTCTCGCTCCCATCCGCCCCATTTGTCCGCGTCTGGGCCAAATTTCCCGGCCGGTCAAGCTCATATACCGACCGACCAAAGCGATTCGATCAAGTCAGGGTCCGTAAAAGTCTGAAAACGCAAAGCGCTCTCTGCGAAGATAATCGATTTTTCGAGATGGTACACACTGCCTACCGCTCGTGGCGGAGCAGTTGGGGCATGCCACAGTAGCAGCATGCGGAACAATATTTGTGCGGTGTTCGTCGGCCGTTGATACTGCCGGCTGCGATTGGTAGTGTATGTTAACCTCAACAAGTCAACAAAGTTGTGTAGGGTTTGAAGTTGTAATGTGGACAGCTCTTAGGCTGCCTGCGTGGGCGTAGTCCTGCGGGACCAGTTCTCGGACCCGCGTCCGCGGTAGCCACCGCGGCCTCCTCGGCTGGGGGGAGGTGTCGAACTGCTTCCTTCACCAGAATACGAAGGCTCCCGTCCCTTGCCGCCACGATGATTCGGGCCCGATCCTCGCTGCCCACCACCACGCCCGCTGGATCGTCGTGGATTGCTTCCCGACCGAGAGAAAGGAAGTGGGACAGTCCTGGCATCACCCATACCGGGAAGAAGAATGCGATAAACGCTGCCGCTAGTAGACATCTCATGGGGGAACCACAGGGAACGAACAGTCTCGACATCGGAAACCCAGAAACGCCTCGGCAGAGGCTTAATCGGGGCGGCAGCAGGTTGCCAAGCAGCCTCCGGAGTCTTATGGGGTAAATGAATACGTGGAAGCGACCCCATTTCCTGCTCCTCGAAGCATTCCTCTGCCGGCGGCTTTGTAGTGAAAGACTTCACATCGTCTGATACGTTCTGGGTGGCTGAGCGAGGTAGAGAGACGGTAGCCGGATTGTAGTGACCAGAGTAGTCGAGAGCACTTTTAGTGACAGGCTCGACACCAGGTGCCTTTGGCGGAGAGTTTGGCTTTCGACCCGTGAGCAGGTTGTTGATCCTATCTTGCCAATTCTCGTTTCCTGCTGAATCTTGCGACCGCTGGGACACGTGGTTCTGCTGGTGAGGTCCGCGCCCATGAGTTCCTGGACCATCTTTGTAACCGGCTGGGGTTGCCCAAGCAAACGGCCCAGTAGATCTGGGTGCCGCTGACTGCGCCGCCGCAGCTGAAGGTGGTAACTTGACAACGGGATGCGGTCGGGGGAGAGATACGTGAGGGTGCATGGCGTCTCCATCGAAGGCCGGGTGGCCAAGCATATCCGGGGGCGGCGGGGAAGGCGAGTTAGGCCTCGATGGTTCCGCATGAGAAGCTGTGGAATCATGTCTGTTGTCCCTGGGAGGGAAGAATCTAGAGGAGCTTCGAGATTGAGTGGCGGCCGATGGTCCTGTGGGAGGTAGCACAGATGAGTGGTCGACAGACCCAGCAGCGCGAACATCGTGGTGAATAACGTGTGCAGGATCGCGTCTTCCATCTCCAGATGGGCGCCAAGTGTCTTTGATCGTGGCTTGAGCTTGTTCAATAGTGAGCCCGCGCTCCACCAGGCTCCGATCACGCTCGAGGCGCTGCGATCTCTTCTCGTCGAGTACTATCTTGTCGCCTTCCAGAACCGAGTGAGCCCATCTATTTCTCATCTCGTTCACTTCGCGAGCATTACCCGTAGTGGGACGAGCCTGGGTGACCGGTGGAATCTGAACCTGCGCTCGCTGCGCGCTGGGTGGTGCGATGGGTGCTGGGCCCTTTCCTGCTGCTTGAGGCTCTGGCAAACGGCCCAAGTCAGTATTGAAGGTGCCGTTGCCCAGTCCGCGATCATTGTTAGGCGATCCCCAGACGTTACGAGGAGCCTGAGGGCCAGCCGCAGCCGCGCCCCAAGTCGGGAGCCGCTCTTGTTGAGGCGTAGGTGCAACCCATGAGTTGGGCTGCCTTGCCTCCGAGCCACTTGGCCGTCTCGCATGCTCTCCGCCTGCGGTGACGGGTCTTTCGCCGTAAGGCTTGTCCTTGGCGTTGGCGGGAGTTGAAGGGACAGCCGATGTATCGGGACCCGCGGCAGGCGGCTGTGAACCGGCTTCCTGGCCAGTGGAACCGTCTTGTCGAGATTGCGCCTGTGCTGGGGCCGCGTTGGAACTCTCTGGTGAAGCCTCCTTCTTGTCACTTTTGCGTTCTGGGGCTGGCCCCATGGCTTCCAACTTCGCCGCAATGCGCGCTTTCCTCGCAGCTTCCTCACGAGCCTCCTCTTCGCGTCGCCTCTGCATTGCCAATTCGCGTTTCTCACGCATGACCTTCTTCTGCATCTCGAGATCCTCCTCCAATCGCGCCATCGGTGGCGGTGGGGCTGGTCTTCCGTCTGTCTGAGGGCCAGCTGAGTGTAGAGTGGCATGGTTGGTTCCAGGGGATGGTCGAGGTTGCCACTGCTGGTTGCCGTGCATCCGAGGACCATGTTGTAAGCCCGAAGGCGAAAAGTTCCGCGGGGACATGGGACTTTCAACCGAGCCAGCCATAGAGCCCCTACGAGCACTCAGCAGGTCCTGGGGAGGACCCGGAAGCTCATGTCCCTTGCCTGGCCGTTGCAAGTAAGATCCGCTACCACCGCTAGCAACAGAAGATCCACGGCGCCTACCCATGGGACCGTCGGGCACAGAGTTCCTGCTCGTTTGGAAAGCGGCAGAGGGCTCCGGATGATCGGATTGGGACGGGCGTTGTAACACTGCCGGCTGCCTAGGATGGACGTCAGATCGGAAGGAGCCTCTTCGATCGGCCGGGACCGGCTCATATCGCCCAGATTGCGAGTTAAACAGTTCTCGGTTTCCGCCCGGAGGACCACCTTCTCTCCAAGCTGATCGGTTGAAGTCATCAGCAGCAATTTCCTTGGCATGGTAGGGCGGAACGTTATTATTAGTCGCGTGGTCTCTCGGGGGGTATCTCGCGCCTTGCTGAGGAGCAGGCGGCGCGGCGATGACTGGCGGAGGAGCCTTCTCGACGGGGGGCAGAGGTGCCCAGGGCGATTTCACTGGCGTCGGAGGTGCAGGTGGTTTGGCGACGAGCGTGGGCTTTTCGGCAGACCCAGCCTTGAGGATGAGCCCTTTGCCAGATGCAAGCCCGCCAGTCTTAATCGAGGGCGAAGCGGTGGTTCGAGGCGGTGGTACAGGAGATTTCGGTTTCTCCAAGACCTTCTCTTTCGGTGGCGCAGGAGTCGGCTCGGGCGGCGGCGGCGGCGCAGGTACTTCGTCGGGATGCGGGAGGGTGGTCTTGGTACCATCGGTCCAGGTGATGGTCTCGGGCGCCCAGTCGTCGTCGTCGTCTTCTATATCTGCCCAATTTCCCTGTGCCGACTGTCCGCTTTCGGGGGCAAGACGGCTTGCCATATGGATGCCATACTTCTTAAGTTCTTCATCCGTAAGCTTTTTGGGTTCCGGGGTAGGGACAGCTGAGGTTCGTGAAATTAGCACATGACCGCAACCACCCTCAAAGACCTAGTAGTCGCCTTACGTCGATTCTTGTTCCATACTGCGCTGGGGTCAGGGCCGGCGGCAGGCTTGGCGCCGTTGGCAGCCGCTTTGAGTCCCGGTGAAGAACCTGTGCCAGTGCCCGACTTTGCGACTAGCCTCGGCCGCGAAGACAGAGTCGAGGTTCCTGATGGCGAGGAGCTCAGGATCGAGGTCGAATTCGTCTTTTCGCCGGGTTTGGTCGCCGAGGAAACGGTAGGGCCCTTTGATGCTAGGAAGGTCTTGTTGACAGAGACAGCCTTGAAGGTTGCGGGCTTCTTGACGGCCGACGACGTCCTGCCGTGTCCCTTTTCTCCATCTCGAGCCGCCCGTGATGCCTCGGTATCCGACCCTCCACTAACACTAACATCTGCTGAATTGAGTTGATCTTCGACACCGGTGATGTGCTTATTCTCTAAGTCATCGACGGCGGGACTACCGTTCAGTTTCGCGCGATTTGGACCGACATTTTGGGAGTCGATGTCAGCGTCGTTAGTCTGTTCGGCGGAGGGTTCCGAAAGGATCCTAGGTTAGCCAAAGGGCAAGCGACAGAGTGAAGGGTGAGGTTCGCATGGGGTGGAATGACGAATGAAGACGAGTGAAGAGGGGACGCGGGGATCATCCGGCGATGGGGCAGGGCGCCAGCGGTGTGAGGCTGGGGTTGCTGGGGAGGAGGGGAAAAGAGGGAACTCACGAGCTTGGGGTCAGAATGGACAGAAGCATCAACGGGGGCGGCGAGGGTGGCTTCAGTTGCCATCATACGTCGTCGGATGTTCTGCGCTGGAAGAGCGAGGTTTGGCTTTTCCGAGCTCGAGTCACTAGAAGGACTTGTTCTGGATGTGTGGGTGTGTGTAAGATCGTTGAAGGCCGAGATGATGGTGGTTGGTGGTTGGTCGGATTTGGTGATGGAGTACTAGGTATGTATGGGCCGGGGGGAGCGACGAGTCGCAGAAATCGAGCGGTTTCGTGTATTCGAATCGCGGGGCGAATGCGATCGTGGGAGTCGCGGATTCGGATAGTTCCCCTACCAGCAAGACGTACGTCGTCGGCTTCGTCGTCGGCGTCGTCGAGGTATAGCGTCCGAAGGGGAGGGTTGGAAGGGAAAAGAGGAAAAAAAAAAAAAAGGAGCGCTGGGCTGATGGGGGTGAGGTGGTGGTAGAGAAGGGCACACCTATGCGGCTGTGATGGTTGTGAGGTCGATTTTCCTTAGAGAAGCTGCAGTCGCCTAATCAGGGATTAGCGTGCGGCAGCGGGCAGGGGGAGCAGCCAAAGTTGCTCAGTGTCTCCAGCGCTGTGTGCTGTCCACCTGTCCAGTCACTGTAGTGCTGCTCCAGTGCTCAGTCGCTGTCCACTGCGAGGGGAGAGAGGCAGGCAAGGTGAGGGAAAACAGTGGGGACGCGATGGGTACCTGCCCGCCGACGTGGTCACTGGGTGCCCAAGAAGGCTGTGACAGTGTGTCAGCCTCGTGCACTGTGGCCTTCAAACACTGTGTTTTGGTCATGGCTCAGCTCGGCCTAGTGCGGAAAGCGCTGGCTTTGCGGGCTGGGGAAGGCAACGCCGGCGGGAGGAAACAACGCGGGATCCCCCGACATCCCAACGGGCTATTCTTGGATCCAGTGTGCCAGTGCATTGATGAGCGCCTCTCCGTCTGAGCATTCATGGACGCACTTCTCTGACTGACAGTTGTTTTATCTGTCTGTAATAATGATTGAAACTAATGGCATTCTCGTTGCTTTGAGACTGAAATCGAATTATCTTAACAATCGTAAGGCAGACAGCACCTGGCAAACCAAACTCAATGGTGGCCTCATATTCATTACTGATCGGTGTCGCCCGTGTCTTCTCTTCTCGAGTGTATACATAACATCACATCACATCACATCGGGTTTCCTGAGAAGTTTGAGCCGGATGAGCATTACGCAATACCACTCAGTTAATCTTTAGACTAGCTGAAACAAACTCTCGGCTCGACTTGTCAGCGGCTCTACAAAAGACCGAGAACGAGAACATCCCAGGCCATCCTCTTTTTGTTCATGTCTTTTCATCAGACCGCGCTTTTCTCTCTGTCCATTTCACATTCGAGGGAGGAATACACGCTGGACACGAAAAAGGAAATTTGCCGAGGAGCCTCCTCCTGGAGAATAGGTTCTAATTCTTATATACACGGTCCCAATGCCATTACACAGCCAGAGGCTGGACTACAACCAGATGGGAGTCGCTTAGTGAGCATTGTTCTTGTGGTGGCCTGTCAATCGTTAGCATCACATCGCCGAACCGCTCTCCGTCTTATTCGTCTTTCTGGTATTTTATCCCAAGTACCACGTTAGAGGGGGTTTGACGTACGGAGGTGGAAGTAGTAGTTCTGAGCGTAGCCGATGACGAGGAGGAGGCCAAGGGCGTGGATGATGGCTACACAACAACAGTCAGTCTTCTGTCCCATGCCAGACCTTCGTTCGCAAGTAAAGGGGCAACATACGCTTCGCAGAGGCGTTCTTGCCGCTGAAGTGCTTGGCGGCGTAACGGCCGAGGATGCCAGTGGGCTTAGCCTCGGGGGCCGCACCACGGGGGAGCTTCTCGTAGAAGTTGACAACGCGCTGCATGCGAACGGCGTTGGGGTCCGCGCCAAGGGCCTGTCCGAGTTCGTCATGTTAGCCCTTTTTCCCTGTGATCCGTATTGCATCTCGTTGTTGATGTTGTTATTGAGAAAATCCGTAGCTCCGAGTAGCTCCGTCCTTGTCGCTCCTCCGTATCCCGCGCCCGAACCTCCGAATTCGCCGGGTAACCTTTTCCCATCCAAACCTCGCATCCATCACAAAAACAGAAAAGAAAACGTGAGTCGGGATCATAATCGTACCTTGGGAGAGGCGACCTGTGTGCATCAATGTCAGCATACTTCTCCGGGTTCAATAGCAGAGCTGCCGGTCGTCGGCCGGACAGAGGGAGATGAGCGCACCTTGGGGGGGATGAGGGTCGAGAGACCGCGGCGGGGGACGAAGCTCATGGTGACTTTGGGGTATCGAAGAATCGGGAGGGTCGCTCGGCGCAAACAGTCAATTGAGCGGATCAATTGACTTTATCGATTTCGACGTGGAGGGGAGGAAGGCTGATGGCTATGGTAGACGAGGGTGACGCTCCGTTTGCCGAAAGTGAGGTTTGAACGAAAAGCACTCGTTTCTTTCGGGTCAAGGTTCTTGCGGCGGCCAATCAGCGCGCCCCAATCCGGGCCACCCCCCAAGCAAGGCAAGGCCCTTCCGCCTCGTCCAGTGCCGTACCATCAACCACCACCCATTATCGCATTCCCAGACTACCCAATTCGTCCCACGACGACAATTGAAGGGAAGCCAACACCCATCTCCCACACGTCGCAATGGCATCCCTCCGCGCCTACAACGCAGCTCGCCTGCTGCGGAGCGCCGCTCCCTTCCGAGCTTCCGTCTCCGCGCCCGTAACCGCTCGCCGATTCGAGAGCCAGCTCACGACCGGCACCACGACACAGCAGCCCGCCGCCGTGGCCCCCTCGACCGAGCAGAACGAGCCCGACTACAGCATCGCCGCCGACAAGGCCACCTCGTAAGGACGCAAAGCTCTTGGGAGGGATTATTGCATGAGTTTGCAATTGGGTTGGGCAAACATAACAAAGTGCTAATTGGGTTGTGCTCTCGCAGGACCTTCACCCCGACCCCCAAGAAGCTCCAGAACGGCAGCGAAGACGTCCCCTTCATCCAAGCCGCCGTCATCTCCGGTGCCCCCATGGAGCTCCAGGCTCGCACAGTCCGGTACGCATAGCCTTTATCTCAGACGACGGAGTAAGACAGAAAAGAAGAGAAAATCGCAAAAGCTAACGACGGAAACCCTCACAGCATCTACCAGGAATCCAAGCCCGCAACGCAATCAGGCAACTGGCAAGGCCACCACTGGCGCATGGACTGGGACATCCTCCCCAAGGGCCACCGCTGGGAGAACCCGCTCATGGGCTGGCAGTCGTCGGCCGACATGATGCAGGGCACCAAACTCAACTTCAAGTCCAAGGAGGACGCCATCCACTTTGCAGAGAAGCAAGGGTACGAGTACTTTGTCCAGGAGCCGCAGTCGAGGCGGATCAAGCCCAAGGCGTACGCCAACAACTTTTTGTACTCGCCCAAGAAGCTCAAGCACATTCGGACCAAGTAGAGAGGGACAGAGTGGGAGCGATATCGTTGTACGGAGTATCACTTGTATATAAAACTTTCCAAAGACCGTTTGTACCCCATGGTAGACCTGAGACCTGATGAGGAGAGGGGTTTTGGTAAAGAAAGCAATAAAAAATTGAAACATAACCGGATTTCAACGTGACTTTGATATTGAAGCTGGGTTCCTCGATGAACATACGGGAAACTCAGTATGCTGAGCTGTAATCGGACTTTCTCCAACCGTGATTGGCTCGAAAGTCTCCACTCGTACCATGACCTCCATTCCATCTACCTTGCGGCAAGATAGATTCTACTGCGAAGGTACCTAGGTATTATGGATTATTGATAGTCACAAAGAGACCAGACACGGCCGACCATTTTCTCACGGAACATTTCACGAGAGGGGTATGGTATAGAGTTCGCAATTGCCGTGATGGCTTCTATTCCTTTCTCGGTCATCTGTTGACCCGATGTCGTGAACCATTAAAAATGTATGTACCATAATCCCTCATTCAGTCGTAACCGAATGAATGGTGTAACGCCTCCAAGATTTGCCAATCCTGGCCCGTATCCCAAAGTCAAACCCTGCTTGCTCTTAACTCCATGCGCTATTCCCTAGCCATCATGTTCCCCTTCATAATATTCCATGATCAACTCAACCAAACGGCGGTCTTTAGCATCGTCAGCGACATGGGCCACGCCATCGTGATAACTCTCCGCTCCCAGGATGCGATTCTATTCCTCGACCTGGGAGGTAATCGGTCTGTGAAGGAGATACCGATCAAGATCGTTTGTTTCTCGCCCATTGCCTTCATTCAACGGGCCCTCTTGCAGTGGATCATAATTCTCTTTGTCGCTGCTGTAGTCCTCAAGACTGTTGCTCTACGAGAGCATCATTGGGTCGTGCCCGTCACTCTCGTCTCCATTCAAGCCGAGACCAATTCTCTCAGGGAGGGGCTTCTTCTCCGCTCTCGCAGCAGACTCAGCCCAAGCCCTCATCTTGACCAGCTGTCGGATCGCGGCTTCCCTACGCTCCGATTGACGCTGCAAGATGGCCTTGTTGACATCATCTGCAACATCCCGTCTCAGGTCTGGATGCAAAATGGCTGCCAACTGCGGCTCGAGATCGTTGTGCGGGAACACCAACAGCGCCATCGTCTCTTCCAGGTCTTTGAGGAAGCGTGAGTCGGTTGGTGCACGCGGTCCAAGATGGTTCGTGGCGAATGACAAGGCAGGAGTGATATCCCCGCCAGGTGTGTTTGTGCACGCCCGAATGAGCTCCACAAGTTGGAGGCGAAGCAGCGCGAAGTGCAAGGTTGGATCGCGGTCCAGAATCTAGATGACTTGTTAGAACATGTGTACAAAGCAGAAACATGCTGACAAGTGGTGTATAAGGCGAAAGCTCATCAAAAAGTGGTTGTTCCTCATCAAAGTGTCCCGAAGGTGCTATGAGTGGTGCATGATAACTCGATGTCTAATCACTGCGACTGGGGTTTAATGTTGCGGAGAGTAAACAACTAACCTCTGAGTCAAAGTCATTCAGAGCCTCAATGGCGTACTGAATGCTTCCAGTATGAATGGACTTTTGAATCTGCTGGCGGACCTTGATCGTCTCGTCGACTTGGTGGGGTTGGAGGTTGGCTTCCTTGCTGAATTTTGCGGCAGCGTTAGGATAGCCTTCCATTGTCAAGTAATCGAGGATCAGGGCGTTGATGTCGCTGAGAGTCCATGTTAGCACAGATGTCCTCTTGGCTGTAGTTTGAACAACGTAAAAATGTGCAAAACAGCAAAAGTGTCAGGGTTATTTTATATCGAGTTCTCCGCATGGTAATTGCTAGGAGAGATTCCCATTTGATAGTTGATCATCATGTGAGCTGGGAGGGGAGGGGGAAGCGCCAGACGTAGCTTCGGAGCTAGCGCCGGGCTTCGACGTGGAAGATGACGAGAAGAGAGAGAGGAGCTTACCTTTTGGGCGACTTGACGTCCTGAACACGCCTCTCGAAGGCATGCTTCATGGGTGTAGCAGTCGACGCAGACGAAGTCTGGATGACATCTTAGCTAGCTGTCAAAGACAACCAAAACGGCGTGGCCAGCATGGATGTACACACTGGCACACTGGCACACGGGGAGCTCAACGGACCATGATTCTCTCCAACGTCTCCCGCACGAGACGCGCAGCAGCTCTATTCCAAACTGCTATGGCTGTTGGGTCGTTGATGTCCGGCAGTCCTGACATGCGATGGGAAGTGCGCAAATGCAGGGAAAGCAAGGCAAGATCAGACAGGCTCTGGGCTGGGCCGTCGTCACATTTGAGTGGCCAGTCGAGCTCCCGTCCGTTTTGTCACGCGAAGGAAGTCTTTGAAAGAAAAAGATGCTGAGGAAGAACTGGGATTGGATGTGGAAGAAGGAAGAAACGTCAGAACAAAGAGAAAGAGGCTGGAGCGGAGCTTTATTTGGTTCCAGAGTTTGCGGCTGTAGAGGGCCAATCGCAGGATCAGCCAGACCGCCTGGCGTGGGGCAGCCATAATTAGGTAATCCGAGGCACATGCCCTCTCTACCCAAGGCAAGGTACCTTACTTTCAAGGTAAGGCAGGTAAGGCGCTGAGAGCAGCCACGCAGCCGGGGGGGCCACAACTGGGGTTGAACAGGGCAAAAAAAACACAGGGCGCGACCCACCAGAAGCACAAGAGAGGCAGGTACCAGAGCTAATACCACCTGGCCGCCCTTACCTGTACGAAGTGATGAACCGCAACTACGCATCGTGCCTGCGGGCTGCTGTCCTGCGTAGGCACAGCTGCGGTCATCTGGACCCTGTGTATTTGTGCGCCCACCTGTGTGAGCCCAGCCCGCTATTGGATCGTTCACTTCTACAAGAGATGTTCCGTTGGAGAACCGGACTTGATGCTTTGAGGAAAGATAGCACGCGAGCACAGCCTCTCTCTTTTGATCAGGCTGTTTTAACTTGTCTCTAACATTTCCAAGATGTACAGTCCACCTTCCCTATAGAAACAGCAAAAGGCAACTTCCCCTCTCGTGGCTCCCGTCTGATCAGCAAGCTTTGTGGCAGGTACCTTCCATTCGGTTACCTTCAACATCAGATCTAGCCCGGCCAGCTCCACCATACACCGGGCTTAGGTTGTCAAAGTCAAGCACCCATCCCCCTCAGCGCTTATCTTTGGGGACTGGACCCTGGAAGTCGCCTTTTAGCCAGTGTTTTCATTTTTATATCCTCAGATTTCATCTCTGCTTCTTCCCCCCTTCCATTGCGAAGGGAGCAGACATCAAAGCCGTCGACACCTGCAGTCTCTGTTCCTCAGGTCGTTGGTTGTTCTGTCCACCGGCCTATCTCACTTCGCTGCAGAATCCGAGGACAAAGCTGTAGCTACCCGATAAACCACCACCAGCCTGCCCCGCGCATCGACGTCGGCGACCTCCGCCTCTCAGCCCAAAGAATGGCAGACAACCACAGCGGCACCGAGTCTCATGTGACGATCCAGCGGCGGACTCACTACTCACCACCGTGGGCAGATGTCAGCATCATTGGTATTGCTGGCAGTTCTGGCTCTGGAAAGTCGACTCTGTCGCACGCCATTGTGAGGAAGCTGAATCTGCCCTGGGTGGTGATTTTGTCCATGGTATGTGTGCATTTACCCCGCCAACCGGCGGCTTGCGGCGATGGCCCCTCCCCTGACTCGATCTGAATATAGGACTCTTTCTACAACCCCCTGAGTCCCGAGGAGTCAAAGAGGGCTTTTGACAACGACTTTGACTTTGACGCGCCAGATGTAAGATGTATGCCGATAGTACTGCTGGCATGCATGTTGACCAAATTCAGGCAATTGACTTTAACGTACTTGTACAATGTTTGCGCGATCTGAAAGCTGGGTAAGTCTTGTAACATCTTCGCTTTCTAATTTGCTTCATGAAACTCTTCTTCTAGTCTGAAGGCGAGCATTTCAGACATCAATGTTTAATTTTATGATAATAATTGGTTTTAGAAAACGGGCTGAAATTCCCATTTACTCCTTCTCTAAGCATCAAAGGTTGGACAATACCACAACCATCTACTCACCTCACGTCATCATCCTGGAAGGAATCTTTGCCCTCCATGACCCCCGTATTATTGATCTTCTGGATATGAGGGTATTTCAATCCCGTCAAATCGAACCGCGATCAACTTCTGACTGTTGCTCAGATATTCTGCGAGGCGGATGCCGATACGTGTTTGTCACGGAGAGGTAAGTCGCAGGCAGCCCGGGATGTGATGTACTTAGTGCACAGCTGACCTTGCAACGTCAAGTGTTGAGAGACGTCAAGGAGCGTGGCCGTGACGTAGATGGTATCATGAAGCAGTGGTTCAAGTTTGTGAAACCAAACTTTGAAAAAGTAAAGAGCTCCATCATCAAATCGTGTTGGACTTTCCTAACATGTCTGTGTCCAGTTCGTCGAGCCGCAGCGCAAAGTCGCAGGTAAACTAGCCGAGCCGCTTCAGATGCTTCGTAGAGACTGATCACATGTAGACATCATCGTGCCGAGAGGTATCGAGAACCGCGTAGCTATGGGTAAGCATATCATCATGTCAGTACAGCTTCATAACTAATACCTAGTCTAGCCATGGTTGTTCAGTACATTGAGCGCAAGTTGATCGAAAAGTCAACCCACCACCGGGCAGCACTCACGCAGTTGGAGTTGGCTGCTGCCAGTGACCCTCTGTCTGACAGAGTCGTGATTCTCGACCAGTCACCGCAACTGAGAGGCATGAGCACCATCATCCAGGATATCGACACCTCTGCGGAAGACTTTATCTTCTACTTTGACCGCCTCGCGTGTCTTCTGATCGAGCAGTGAGTAGATTGCCTGCTGGGTGAACGTCTGAATGACGGGCTAACAACCACAGGGCACTCAACAATGTCCAGTTCAGAGAAAAGACCATTGCCACGCCGCAAGGATACAAGTACAACGGACTCCAAGCTACGGGCGATGTAAGTGCGGTGCTGGTCCTTCGTGGCGGTGCCGCCTTTGAGACGGCCTTGAAGAGGGTCGTCCCCGACATGCGGACAGGCAGAATCCTGATCCAGTCCAACGTCCGGACGGGAGAGCCCGAGCTGCATTATCTCAAGCTCCCGGATAACATTGACTCTCACGAGTCGGTGTTGTTGATTGACACGCAGATGGCCAGCGGAGGCGCCGCACTCATGGCTGTGCAAGTGCTTGTCGACCACGGCGTTGCCCAGGACAAGATTGTGCTGGCGTGCTATGCTGCCGGAAGACTGGGTGTACACCGTCTTGCAAAGGTGTTTCCTGGTATCACTATTGTTCTGTGCAACATGCTTGCAGATATCGAGGATCGCTGGGTTGAAAAGAAGTACTTCCGATGCTAGCCGTAGGCATATATTTACTTGTATAACCCGGCCGAGTTGCGCCGAGCCTGCCTCTGTAGCAAAATCGATGAGTGCCCAAGTGGCAATAGGAAAGATCCTATTGCAAAAGTGCATCGTAATGCCATGGAGTAAGGCTGCTTGATTCATGAGATTTGAGGGTCCTCAAGGGCTGGACCCGTCCCTCTGGAAAAGGCCGCATGTTCGCCTGCCAGACAGCCTGGAGGATCCATTGCCTCGCATATATGTCTCTCGCGGCTCGCCTTGTTCGCACTCTGGCACTCTGGACGGATACCGGATTCACGGCTGCGATTCTCGTCATTGGCTCCAAATGCGGCTACAAATTGGCCGAACGAGACACCGAGAAGTGGACATGGTGGTGGAGACGTACGGCTCCCGCGGCAGGGGGTCTTTGGACGCCGCTGACTGAGATCACAGTTTCTCGCTAAATGAGTATTCAGATTTCAGGCCGAGAAAGGACCCTTTTTTAGTTGGTCCTCTTTAAAAGGATCTTATCAGCTCGGACGACCGTGAGATCGCGGCGCCGACAACGGAACTGAGGTGTTGGGACGAAAGTCCGAGATTCGTCGTCGGTGACGGCGATAATGCGGTCGGATGCTGCTTTTTTGTAAAGAATTTTTTTCTTGCCTGCTCGCGTGATGCATCAGAGAACTCGTCCAAAAGGTTAGTGGTCAGTCTATCCATTGACATGTAGAGCAAGACACCTTGGAGATTATTCTGGCCTATCTGGTGTAATTGCATGGGAGGCAACCTTCGGCTTAACCGAGTAATGACGTACTTGCTGGAGCTGTCGGCACAAGGTACGTCCTCCCGTCTACGTAGCTACGTAGCACGGTGTAAGGTACCTTAGCTTCCTCGGATTTGACGGTTCTGGCGCGAACAGTACCTTAGTACAAGCATCATTACGCATACGTCCAGGGAGCTATGCCCGCCAGCCCCTAGGAGCCTTTTCATTTTCGTGACCATTACGACCTTGATTTTCTCTTTCTTGGAAAACTCCAACAACCTCAACTCTCTCTGGTTACCTCTGTCTCTTGCTGCTTCTTTGCAATTGATACGTCGCGACACATCTCTAGAGCTCTCTGCTTGCTCCCATTCACTCGTTTCGACATGACATCTCCATACTGCTAGATCTACCTTTACTCTATCACGACGTCAGACGAAAAAAACACCAGACTAATCTGCGATAATTAAATGCCTCCCACCACATCCGCGCTGAGGCGCATACCTCGCGCCGTTTCTCACACATCACCCATCAGCTTGTTCAAACCTACGCCGATATGCAGGCAACAGGTCGCCGCCCTCGCGCAAAGGCGCGCCTTTATTAGCCCTCCTCCCCAGCGATCCCGGACAACACCTCCTACCACGCCTCTCGCCAACTTCTTCTTCAACGCCCACGGTCTGCCCAAAGGCACCGCCATCCGATCGGTCTCCGGCGCGCCGCCGCCGGCCCCTACTCCGAAACAAAGGTCACGACTCCTTCGCTTCGCGTACGCCAGCGCCGCATGGCTCGGCGGCGGCATCATCTTTGTCGGCCTCGGCGTGGTTGGCTTCTTCATCTACGATGCCTCCACTTACAAGGAACACCCGGACCAGAACGAAATCGAGGTATCTGAGCTGGCACTGAGCCCCAAGCGAGGCGGACCAAAGAACCTGCCCATCGCAGAGGTGCTGATTGACGACCTGGACAACGAACACATGAAGAGCGCAAAGGAGAAGCCCAAGCTTGTTATTCTCGGCGGCGGATGGGGCGGAGTGGCTCTACTCAAGGAGCTCAACCCGGATGAATACCACGTTACTGTTGTGTCCCCGACAAACTACTTCTTGTTCACGCCCA